TGGACAATGACTAAGGAGGATAGAAGGAGAATTGATGCCTTTGAGCTGTGGTGCTGGAGAAGAGTATTGAGGGTACCATGGACTGCTAAGAAAATAAACAGATTAAACCGGGCTGCTCCTTGGAGGCAAGGATTCTACGGCTGTCTAACATACTTTGGACATGTTGCAAGGAGGGACAGGTCCTTTGAGAGGGACATCATGCTTGGTAGGGTGGAGGGACAGCGCAGAAGGGGAAGGCCCCCTATGAGGTGGATTGATTCAGTGACTGGGGTAATCGGGATGGCTATGCCGGAGACGGTGCAATTGGCACAGGACAGAGCAGAGCTTAGGGATGTTTTACATAGGGTTGCTATGAGTCGCAAGGGACTCGATAGCACATAACAACAACAACAATCTTATTTTGTCCTGTTTTCTTTCTTTCTGAGTACAGCTTTCAAATACTGCACACTATAGTTTTGAGTCATTTAACAAGTGAGACCCTAATCCACTTACAAAGTGCTAGTCAGTATTAGCGTTGTGTAGATTCAGTAGGAAAGGGCTTGCCTTCCAAAACCTCCCTTTTAGCAGAATGATGCTGATGTCCATCACTACGCTGTCTTAAGGGCAGAATCAAACTCCTAAACTTCCTAAGGGCTCTCTCCTAAGGGATACAGGTGGTCTCTGGTCCCCTTTTTTTTTAAAGTCTTCATCACTGTCTTTCTCATCAACAACTTTATAGTCTCTAAATACTTGTGGACGAATCTGTACCATAAGCAAGCTACACAATACAACACTGTACGTAGTATATTACTAATGACTCCAAAAAAACCCTTAACATCACATCTGTCAAATTTATCTCAGATTACAGTGGCCTTGGAAGAATGTGCTAAATTGCCTGGCAGGGTTTCCAAGGCTCTGGTGGCTCAGGGATAAGGGAATCACACTGCCAACCCAAAGGTACATTGTTTGAATCCATCAGCTGCTCTGAGGGAGAAAGATTGACAATATCCTCCTAAGTGATATATTGCCTCTGAAAACTCACAGGAGGGTGAGCTGTGGGTCACTTCTGATTCAGTGCTCCTACCAACAACCGCCACCAAGTAAATCATTTTAGAAGCAGACTGCCACAGCATTCTCCCATGGAGCAGTTGGTGGGTTTGAACTGCCAACCTTTCAGTTAACAGTCAAATGTCTGGTTGCATCACTAATATGCTACCAAAGATCCTTACTAATGAATCAGCTCATTCTCCTCTCTTGTACAAAAAAAAGAAAGTAAGCACAGGCAACCATTAAGTGTGTACTGAACACATTGTGACCTGGGGACTGCTTTTACCTGTACGAGGTAACTGTCACGGTTCTGAAAGAAACCATTCCACTGTCAGCTATAGGGACTCTCCTGGGGGTGGTCTTCTGTTCACTAGGATGCAGAGAGCTTATAGCTAATGCACTGATTTTAAGAAATGTTTTCCCTTCTACAAGACAAATCGCACATCAGCTTTAAAAAAATAATTTTCTAGAATGTCTATACTCTACTGATTCTTTGACTATGTTCTTACCACTCTCTATATTCAAATCTATCCTCACCATGGAATTTAGGTCCCAAGTTGGACCTCTGCACTCTTGTAACCTAAAGGTTGAACCCATCCAGACGCCCGGCACAAGAACAGCCTATGGTGGTCTCCTCCTACAAAGGTCAGTGTCACATGTGGGTGAGTTGAGACTCAGTGTGACTCCCACCACATATGACAGAGTTTAACTGGCCCACAGGGTGGTCTGCGGACCACCAGATCTTCTCTTTAATTTAATGGCTGATGGAAGTGCCTGCCTTTTATTTAGTAGCCGAGCACCAAACCACTGGACCACTAGGGTTTCCTACAGTCAGGAAAACTCTGTGGGGTAATTCTACTCAGTAACACGTCGGGTCATCATGGGTGAGAACGTAGGTGACAGCAATAACTCTCATTCTGGTGTGCTCTTCAGTGACTAAGAAAACAAAATTTCTTCCAGAAATGTTATACCAATGTCTCACCTTTCCAACATTTCTCCCTATTGTGAGTTCTCTAAAGTTCTGAGAAACAAAGGAAAATTGTACCACACTTGGATGGTTTGGGCCCAAAATGAATGCTCTGAAATTATCAAAATGGAACACTAGAGCAAACATATCACAGTGCAGACACTATGAAAACACTGACAACTTGAGGCACAATTACTTGGCACACCCCACACTTGTATGGGGCCTGTCCCACGTGGACCCTCTGACAAAGATTGGTTCAAGTTTCAGCTGGGGTCCTGTGCACCTTTTCATACCTGTACAGCCTTCCTCCATGGTGAACCCTCTGAAGGGAATGGAGGTGTGAATTCTGGCCAAAGCTCTTTCCACTCTTCATACTGGAGTGTCTTTTCTCCGCTGTGGACTCGCTGATGTTTCCGAAGGTATGAACCCCGACTGAAGTGCTTCCCACACTGTGCACAATTATATGGTTTCTCTCCTGTATGGACGCTCTTGTGAACATAAAGTTTTGAGGGGAAGTTGAAACCCCTCCCACACTCCTCACATTTGTAGGGCTGCTCTACTGTGTGGGTTTTGCAGTGATTGTAAAGTGTTGATTTTAAATGGAAGTTCTTTCCGCAGGTGTCACATTTGAATGGTTTCTCCCCGGTGTGGATTCTCTGATGCTCCCGAAATCGTGAAGCCTGAATGAAGGCCCTCCCACACACCTCACAATTATAAGGTTTCTCGCCCTTATGGACTTTGTAATGAACATTAAGTTCTGATCGACGAATGAAGCTCTTCCCACACTCTTCACAATTGTAAGGCTTCTCTCCCGTGTGCACCCTATAGTGAACCTTCAGTGCTGATCTCCGACTGAAGTCCTTCCCACACTCCTCGCAGTTATAGGGTTTCTCACCTGTGTGGATTCTGCAATGAATATTATAGTCTCCTCTACGACTAAAGCGCTTCCCACACACTTCGCATTTATAGGGCCTATCTCCAGTATGGACTACTAGGTGAAATTCATAGTTATATTTCATCATAAAGCTCTTTCCACACAGAATGCACTTGTATGGCTTCTCTGTCATGTGGACTCCCAGATGGGATCGAAGGTGTGATCGCTGAATAAAGTTTTTCCCACACACTTCACAAACATAGGGCTTTTCACCACTGTGGATTTTCTGATGGGTCCGAAGACCCGCGGACTGCCGGAAGTCCTTCCCACACTCGGCACACTTGTAAGGCTTCTCCCCCGTGTGGAGCAAGTAATGGATGTTAAGTGTTGACCTTCGACGGAAGTTCTCACCACATTTATCACATTTGAAAGGTTTCTCCCCAGTGTGGATTCTCTGATGTTCTCGAAGATGCGAGGCATAAATGAAGGTCCTCCCACATTCTTCACAGGTATATGGTTTTTGTCCTGTGTGCATTTCATAATGGACATCAAGTGCAAACCGAGAACGAAAACTTCTCCCACAGGCCTCAGGTTTGTGTGGTCCATCTACACTGTGTCCTTTCTGATGACGCAACACACACCCTCTCTGATGAAGTTCCTTACCACAGTCACCACCCTTAGAGAGCGTCTCTCCCATGTGAACTTTAGGTTGAAGAAAAGAGCTGTAATGGAAGCTTTTCCCACACTCACTCAGGGAGTGAGACTTCTCTCCTGACTGTTGGTGCAGATTCAAGCTGGACACATCACTGAGAGCTTTTGTACATTCATTATACTTATATGGTTTCTTTCCAGAGTGAGTAATAGATAGTTCTGCCCCAGCCTGGCAGCCCAGATCAGTCTGTCTGCGGAGCTGAGAATCTGGTATGGTGGGTCCCAGACACCCGGCTAAGTCCCGAGTTACTGGTTGCCAGGGCTGCCAGCAGGAAGGCTCCTCAGCAGGTCCTGCTTCTGCAACAGGCTCCGCTTCACCTACGATGACAGAAATTGAGAGAAATGAGCAAGTAAAACTTCATGCAGAATTTTCACCATTTCACACTTAGGATTGGGCTTGCTGAGACTTTCTAACCCAGACATGATTCACTTTCACCTTGAAAAATGTTTTCTCGTTTACAAGCCTACGCCATGCCCGCCCAGCTCTCACAATAACCATGTCGTCAAGGGGTACACTGCTTTAAGTTTGTATTTCAATTACTTTGTATGTTAAGTGAGGTAGCTGAGCAAATGAATTCTAAAACTTTGTATAACATTGAAAATCTGCAAAGTATGAACAGCCTCAGATCATCTAGAAAGAGTGAAAACATTTCATTTCCTCATGTTTTTGTTCAGAGCTATCTACCTTCAACAAAATTGTAAATCAACCCATCTCAGGACATCTCAGGTAAATCTGAAGTGTCAAAATATGATGTTATTTTCCAAACCATATTTGTGATTTTTTTATCCCCTGGATCAATGAAACAATCATTCCTTTCCACTTGCTTGCATTTTAGCTGAGGCACAAACAAGATAAAGCTGTTTTACAGAAATCACATAAATATTTGTCTTGTGATAACGTTGACTTTTGAAAATAATGTTCTTGGGGAAAAAGAAAGAAATGAAAAGGCGGTCCAGTTTTTCCTATTCACTAAGTATTAATCAGCTCCATTAGAAGACATCAAGCCTTCTACACAACACAGAGTTAGAAAGAAAAAACTTGGTTGAGGAACTAACCTGGCAGGAGAAAGGCCGGTAGGATCTTATCTGTGTTTATTGGGGCATTGCTGATTACCCGGGAGAGCACCTAAGGGTGCGCCCACAGGTGGGGAATTTGG